CCGTGTATGCGCGCGCGCCCGAGGCCGCCCCGCCGCTCGCGCCCGTCTAGCCCCACACGCGCGCGCGCCCACCCGTGCCCCCGTTGTTCCCGCCGCGCCGCGCCGCGCGCCGAGGGGTGACCGGCAGCCGCCGCCGCCGCTTTATTTTAAAAGGGGGGCTCCCGTGGGGGCGTCAGCGGCACGAGGGCTTTTCCTCCGCCCCAATTGGCTGAGGGAAGGGAGGCGGCGGGGGGGGGGGGGTGAGGGAAGGCAGGCGAGCTCCCGCTCTTCTGCTGTTTTCTCACCACTCCCCCCCCACACACACACCGCCTGCCACAGCGGAGGGGGCGAGGCGGGGCCGGGCCGCGGCGTGTCAGCGGCGACGGTGAGTGCGCCTGCCGCCGCCGCCGCCGCCGTCCGGGGAGGGGAGGGGAGGGGAAGCGGCGAGGGGCGAGCGCGAGGTTGGGAGTCAACGGCCGCTGGCGCTGGGCGGGAGGCCACCGCCTCGAGCCGCCCCACACAGGTACCGCACGCTGCCCTGCTAGCGTCGGCGAGCAAAGCGGTAAACAAGCCCCTGGCCCCGCTTCCAGGCCGAGTTCGTTCCCCGTGAGGCAGGGCAGTTACACCCAGCGGTGTCCTGCTGCGGCTGCTCTTCCTCTAGGCAGCCGTGCGCTAAGGGGAAAGTCTGAAACGCCTTCCCTTGCAGTTTGCTGACAGCGACCAAGTAAAGAACAAACACCCCAAAACGCTACGGGAGGGGCGCCGCTTAGCCCCGGTATGTTGACAGCCGTTGCTCTCCCCCACGGCAGTTGCTCGGCCCTGCCCGGCGCTCCCTGGCCCCCGAAGAGCTCTTCATCGTCCACCCTCCCTTTCTAGCTCTGGGCTTTCAGCGCCCCGCTGCAGGGCCCTCCGGGCATCGGCTGCCCTCCAGGGAGCTGCTCTCCGGGAGAGCTGTGCACCTTTCCTCTTGGGCCACCCTTAGCACTTTGCCAGGAGTGACACTGGCGAAAATGCTTTTCCCTGGTTGTCGTATCCTTTTTTTACAAAGGAAGAGAAAATACTGCGGTTGAACACCTTATTGTTTCCCACTTGTACAGAGGCATCAACTCTTGATGCCTTTTCTCCCCACAGCCAGCAAAAGTGAGAGGATGGGGAAAGATGAGTGTTAAATGACAGACTCTCACTGGCGATCATGCTTCCGAATTCTCAGTCGCACATCTGTTCATCTGTTTGGCAGCTATGTTTTTAACTTAAAACTTATGTTTTAAGCAGTTTGGGCCTGATGAAAACGAGGAGCTGCTTGAAAGAAAATCAGCAGATTAAATCTGGGTACTTCATTCTTCCCCATGAGACCTGGAGGGCTCAGAGGAGTCGCTTGCATTTGTACGCCATCCCTATTTCTTCCCTCAGAGCCTGAGCTGCTATTGCTTAGTCAGTGGCAGCATCCAACTCCCCTGTCTGCCTGTTAAAGCTTTTTCCTCCTTTTTTGGACCCTGAGTCACCCTCTCTCTCCTACCTACCAGTGACCGCTTGGGGAAAAAAAAACTTAGTCCAAAATAAAGCACAATGACTTAAGACAATGCCTCGTTCAGCACAAATTACTCAGCCACTCTCCATATGAAAAGCAGTAGTTAAAGAAAGAAAACCATGTAATGACAAGATGAAAGCCTGTGTAATAATGCACATTGTATTGGTGTCAGCTTTAAGAATGCCTTTCAGAATTAATTGACCTTCATACCTTTAATTTTGCATGTTTAGTGTCCTCCAATTTGTTTTACAGTAGGTTATATTTAAAAAAAACTTCACAAATACATTTATAATAACAAAGTGCATTTTATAGATGCCCTTTGTCTTGTTACCATGCCCATCTAAGTTAAACATAAAAGCATTACGCATGCATATACCACAGCAGTAGAATGTGGAAAAAATAAGAGCCTGTAACAAAATGCAATATAGCTCAGTGAAATACCTAATAATCCTTAAAGCAAAGAGAGAACTTTTGGCCAACCATTGAAAAGTACATCTGTTCCCCCCAAGGAGCAAGTTTCAATGCTTATGAAAAACCCCAGCCTATCATAAGCTTAAATACGCTCAGAATATTTCATAAGCAAGTTAACATGCAAAAGTTAACACTTCATATTCTCAGCAAGTCTTTGTCCAGAGGCTGTTGTCCAGATCTACAGTACATCCTTACAATAAATCAAGCTTCACCAAGCACAATGTAACACTTTTGAACAGTTAGGACAGAATGAAACCTTTTTGGAACTGGTTTCAATCCTCATTATGTTTGCCAGCAATGTTTAACTTAATAAAACCTTGAGTTGCATAGGAATAAACAAGGACAAAAGACAAGATTGGATTTTAAAGATATTAATAGGACTGACCAGAAGAGTCCCAGTTCCACAAGCGCTTAAACATGTTTCTAACTTTTAGTTTCACTCCTTATATTACTTCAACTACATCCCTGAATGGGGGCCTGTAACCTGTATAATACAGTCAAATCAGCTTGAGGAATGAACCATATATTTTTTCCTCTTTTGGACAGCATTCAGTTAAGCACAAAAGTAATTCCTTCTCCACATGTTTTTCAGTGTAATATTTATGCACTGCAGTTTCATTTCCCTGTTTCCCATAAACACTCTGATGACTCCCCCCACTTTTAAGATAAAAGATGGGGGAGGGGGTTAAAATCCATTGTAAACACATTGTGTTAAACTTCTAGTTCTGGGCATATCTTAAAATAGATTATATTTTCCAGTTGTTAAGTGTTACTTACCCCTGATTAGCATGAAATCACTATTTTCCCTTTCTCCTCACATTGCTGGGAATGAAGAGTCACAAAAATCTGATTCATCAGTGCATACAATTTTTATAAATTTGATGGCTATAACTACTCTGCATGTTCCTTCAGCATTCTGTATCTTACTGTCCTATTACTATTTATCTAAACTAAAAAAATTATTATTATCAAAAAATTAGGGCACATAGGGCCTTCCTTTACAGGTCTTCAGTAGATATCTTGGGAAATTTTGTACCCCTTTGCTCCTTAGTACATTCTGCTCCTGTCAAGAATTAAGTCTCTTCCCTTTCAAGAGAGGTCTCTTGAGATCTCAGCTATTTCCCTAGTAGTTCCCAAGAACAAGAACAATAAAGGCTCACTCTTCATAGTCAGATAATTTCCAATCCCCACCTTCCTTAGAAAATATACTTTGCAAACAGAGGACAGGCAGGTTCAATTTCAGTTTGATTTCTAAAATTTTTATAACCAAAATAATTCACAATAAAAGCACTGGCTGGTGTTTCAATTATTGCTATCTAAGAATTTAAAACATGACTATTTGAAATTAAAAACTCAACCTAATTCTGGAAAGACATGTAACAGGAAAGCCACCCATGTGGTTCTGTACTGGTTCTGTTACTTAAGCCCTGTGATCACAAGAAAAATAGTTCAAAAAGAAAGGGAAAAAGAAGCAAGACAGACATGAGAGAATTGCCATAAAACTGTGAAAATAAAAAGATTACAGACTTGTATGCAAGTAACTATTTCAGCTAAACCGTTATGAGCAAGGGAGAAAAATCATCAAACCAACATAAAACAGAGAGGAAAGTGAAAATGTCAGTTGTGAATCAATAAGCTGACAAATGTGATGTGAGAAACACCTTGGTTTTGTCTAAGATTTTGTACTAGGGTTGTATGTGGGAAGCCTATGCTGGAGCAGGCTCCTAGCAGGACCTGTTGCTCTGTGGAGAGAGGAGCCCATCCCGGAGCAGGTTTGCTGCAGAACTTGTGACCTCACAGGGCATCCATGCTGGAGCAGCCTGTTCCTGAAGGACTGCACCCCGTGGAAAGGACCCTACACCGAAGCAGGGTAAGAGCATGAGGAGTCTTTACTCTGATTTGATTTGTAATAAATTAAGTTAATGTTTCCCAAGTTGAGCCTGTTTTGTGTATGATAGTAACTGGTGAGTGATCTGTCCCATCTTTATCTTGACCCACAAGCCTTTTGTTATATTTTCTCCCCCCTGTCCAGCTGAGGAGGGCCATGACAGAGCAGCTTTGGTGGGCACCTCATGTTCAGCTAGAGTCAACCCACCATAGAGTTGTTCCTGCTTATAGTAACTTACTTTACATGTTTTATTAATATCTAATAAAACAAACACCAATTGTGTATGCAAAAGACATTATGCTTGTGACAGACATCTGCTGTGGTGGTAGCCAGCTTAAACCTGGTTTAGGATCAATATATAAAATGCCAGTGCCAAGGGAGCAACTTGCCCTGTCATCTGTGGGCTCTCAAAAGCCAGATGAGGAAATAGCATCTTCTGCAACTCTATCTGAAATTCTAGCCAGCCCCTATTAAACATTCACTCACTCACAAGCTATGGGAAGTAGACCAATACTTCAGTAGCTCTCACATACTGCATTTTCTTCCACCATAATAGATGTTTCAATTGGCAACTATTTAAAAAAAATTTACCTACATAGTTCAAGTATGCGGTTAGTGACACACCAAGACAGCCTTTTCCATAAATCACTTTATATACAGAGTATTTCAAAATTATATAGTATTCTGCAAAGGTAAAATGAACAGGATACTAAGTGTGAAAAAGTACCCTTTCATAGAGTTTAATTCTTCCTTCTTGTGTTGATTTGATTAGAATTTGTACTGTTATCAATGAAAAGGGTATACCTACATCATCCAGGAAAAATAAAAAAGGTCTTTACTAAAATACCTAACTTTTTCACAAATTTGCAGCAAGTGGTACAATAGACGCAAGCCCAAGACAGCTGCACACTTTGCAGAGAGGACATGAGGCTAACATAAACTTTTGTGACCACTTAAACTCATGCTCTTAATGATTAAGCCTTTTTGTTGTTTAATTTTCAGCTTGTATTAATAATATACCTATTCAACAGAAGGATTTGGCCTTAAGTCAGAAAGATGAGATAAACAGGATAACCATTAAAACACAAAAACATATGGTATCACCAACTGCGTGAAGATCAACATCAGATTAATTCCCGTTCAGTGAGCAGTGTTTATGCATCGTGTGGCCAGACAGGATGTTCTACTGATGCTTCAGACAGGGCTCCAGCTGTGTTGTATGAAGTACAGGGACTGCATCTCACTGCTGAAGTGAGTGAGTCACATTTTCAAAGGTAAAAAGTACAGATTTTATTTGTTTACTGTAAAGCACAATAGAGCATTGGGAGTGTCTAACCTTAGTTTTAGCATTTGGTAACACCTACAGTAAAAGTTTCTTACAGTGCTATTAGCTGTCAAGGTACAGGTTCCCTCCTGCTTCACAAATAACTAGAGAATTTTCTTTTTTGTCCTTTCAAAAGAGAGTGAGCACTACGAGAAAGGGAAAGAGAGTAGTTTAAATGTCTAATTAGTGAAGCTGAGGGTAACAGTTCCAATTCCCACATCTCTGTTCATTTAAAATAAGAGTTTCAGACTTACCATTTCTTCATTTAGGTTCACCTAAAGGATGGGTGAGGCTTCATGTCTGGCTCCATTACAGACTAAATTTGGGGTTAGATTTTTATTGAGCAAAGCGTGGATGGGACTTGACAGGCTGTTATCTGCGACACAGTTAACATATAACCGCTGTTATTAAAGGTAGGCAAAAGAAAGAAAGTAATAGCTCTTAAGAGTTAAAGCACACCTGCAAATCTTCAGTTCCACAAAGCTAAGTTTTTTGTGGCAGACTTTTAGTGCAGGATGCCTCCATCCTACTTTACCACTGTCTCCACTGTGAACATCTGATCAGAGCTGGTCATCTATGTAGTCTTGGTAAGAGGGAATAGGGAATTCCAGGGGACAGATGACTTTTAACATTATCATGTATGGTGAGGTAAGTGATATTAAAGGACCTCAGATGACTAGCTTAGGTGTACAAGTGAGAACCCTAGGCACCTAAACTTTGGTGAAATTAACCCCACCCAAGAATATTAAGTTGAAGAGCATCCTAAGATAATGTTTATTTAGACCCCAAACATGAAGTTTGTTTTGATCCTACTGCTTAATGAGTAAGTGTGAAGATTGCATTGTCCTAGGATGATCATTCTTGGCAGCGAAAAAACTTAACACTGTTGGCAACATTCTCATGCAGCTTCAAAGTTAACATCTCTTTCAAATGTGCAGGAATTGCTTCAAGCCATTGTTTTAGGCTGGCTTCAGGTTTGGTTTGATACCGCTATCCAGGTCAAGTATTTCATGCTGCATCCATTATCATAGGATCTAAGCACCTCAAAGTTCCTTCCTTTGTTTATATAGGTTTAATATTTTCCAGACCACCTTTGAGATCTCAAGAATTCGATTTTGTTTTCAACAAAAGTTTGGAGCATCAGAGAAGCAAATGTTTTATCAAATAAACTCAATCTGATTGCTGTCTATAAGCAGATTTTGATTGTCTACTCATTTGCCACTCAACTTACTCAACTAACTTGTCAGATTGCAAGATGTCAAAAAAGCAAATAGCTACTACGTCCAACAATCCTACCTAAGCAACAAACCACCAAGAACAGATGACGCTAATCTTGATTTCTTGCTTTTTAAAGAATTCTAATTTCTATTCAAGTTAAATTAATGTTTTTTTACCACCATTTTCTTTTTTGTCAGATTGAAAGTGCTTTTATATTAAAGGCATAGCAGCCTTCCAGTATCTGAAGGGGGCCTATAGGGATGCTGGGGAGGGACTTTTCATTAGGGACTGTACTGATAGGACAAGGGGTAATGGGTTAAAACTCAAACAGGGGAAGTTTAGATTGGATATAAGGAGGAAATTCTTTCCTGTTAGGGTGGTGAGGCACTGGAATAGGTTGCCCAAGTAGGTTGTGAATGCTCCATCCCTGGCAGTGTTCAAGGCCAGGTTGGACGAGGCCTTGGGTTTAGAGCAGTGTCCCTGCCCATGGCAGGGGGATTGGAACTTAATGATCTTGAGGTCCTTTCCAACCCTAACTATTCTATTATTCTATAACAAGGGATAGCAGGTGTTAGTGGCCCCATTTCAAGATATGATTTACAACACCGTCAGCATTTTACTTACTCGATAAACAAAAATGTTTATCTAAGTGACTCAATTCAAATATTAAGGCATATGAAAACTGTTAACAAAGTCTTCCATGTAGAAAGTATACTTGCCTTTGCAAATTGAACACATTTGTGTCAAAAAATACAAAATTTAAAAAATCTAACATTTTAAGAGTAGTATGAGGATATTAAATATGTAAAAAAATATTTTCAGGCTGTTCAAATTTGCACTGAAATACTTAAAATATATAGGACATATTAAATACACGATAAATTTCCTTGCAGCTGGCACCAAAGAGCTTCATTTCATTCTACTTTTGTACTCACAGAGTTGCTTTAATATATGAAAGACTGACAGAGAGGCAATTTTCTTTTTTTTTTTTTCTTTTTGTAATTATTTTGCTAGGTCTACATCTATTTCTTAGCTATTATCTATCTGAAATCCTGAATTTAAAGTTGGGAAGTTGAGTATCCCACAGTAAAAAAAATCAGTCTGTTGCAGGTCAGTTTGAAACAGAATTTACATACTATTTCTGGTTCAGTTATCTGAAGTTGATGGATTATTTACCTCACAATTCATCCCATATCTGGTAATATGGCTAAAATAGATTTTTTAAAAAGGCATATGGAAATTCCTCATTCAGTCTGCAATAACTGTATTTTGTGAAATAGACTTAACGAATCTTGTTGGTTCCATCACATATCTCCTCTCCTTCAAAAGCAGAACTAAGTTGATCCTTGAATTAACAGGGATTTTTTTTTTTTAAGTTAAATAAATCTCATATCAGTGCCATTCCTCTAAATATATATTTACTTGGTGGCTAAGTAAAAATACGGCACATGTTCAAATGTAAGCATACACATAGGCTTTGTGCTTTCTATTTATGCTGTGATAGAAATCCATCCAGAGTAATGAGATAACCCTTACTTTAGATATAGAAATAACATAAATGGATACAGAAAAAAAGGATCTATGTTGTTCACACAAGCCAATTTCACAAAGGATTTCTAAATTTAACTCTTAATGCCTCCCATACTGCTTAGGTTGAGAAAGACAATGCACTCCCCTGGCCAGCCTCACACGCAAGGACTGCCAGGTTACCAAATAATTGTTCATTCATCGTGCAGCATTTACCTGAAAGCAAGATGTATATTGTCCAGATGCAGTAGCTCCTAAGTCCTACTTGCACTCCCTCTAAAACAGCATTTTTGGTAATTCAAGGGGTGCAAATAGACTAAAATTCCTGTCTGGGAAACCTAGATTACATTCCCTAAAATGGATAAAATTAATAATTAATTTGCTTTATCACTATAATGATCCCAATTATTTAAAAGAAAGATTATAGGAAGATTATGCGTTACAGTACCGTGTGATCACAGAGCTGTGACACAACAGATGCAGCGTCAGTTTTCAGGCAGAATTACTCAGTGTGTGAAATGACTAACTGTTTAGGTGGCTGGCTGGGTCTTATATTGTAGTTACAAACACCTTAATGAAAAAGGTGAGTCTTCCCTCCTTCTCTCACAAGGGTGAAATCAAGGTCATCTTATATAAGAGTAAATTCTCCCTGAGATAGTAATATTAATTAAACAACACTCCACTTAAATTATTTTGCTAAAAGCCTTCAACTCCTCCAAGCTCTACAAGTAGCATCTTTTAAATCTTTAAGAAGTTGCCAACTGTTTGAGTAACATAGTACAGAGTACCACCCTTTAAGGGAAAGATTGTGTGCTCAAACTGGGCCAAATAAGCAATAAGATGATGTAAACCCAAACCACTTAAACCACATGAATGATTCCTAAACACGTAGGAATCTGATTTAGAACCATACAAGCAGCAGTATCAGAGTTCCAAAATTCACTTTGCTGGAATTTACAGCAGTATACTACAGTGTACTAACAGGATTTTACAATTAATAAGACCTATAATGCTACTGATTGGGCATGAAAAATGTGTACAAAATATTGTACAATTCTTCTCATTGAGGTAAATTTACTATGGAGAATGACATTATCAATCATTAAGTCATCTCAGATTTCTGTATCACCATCCAAACATACCTACTACACTTGCTGAGAAAGTTGCTTCTAACATAAACAGGTGATCTTAAAAATAACTCGGGACACTTATTTTTACAGAAGGAATGTTTTCTGACTTTTTGTGACCCACTCTGTTGCCAGACTCTAAAATGCTGTAGTTCCTTTGATCTTAAGGCATTTTGCTAATTGTACTTCTGCAGGATACGTGATGTACTGCCACCAGTCAGTAGAAAAGCAGAAGCTAAAGGACTACCAGCCTTTTCTTACAAAAACTGATGTATATCCACATATAGAAGAGGAGTATTTTTATTTTTTTTCATGAACAAGCTTAATATATCATGGACATGTGTAAAAAGTTAACCAAGAAGAAAATAATACTCTGATATCAGACTGTTCACATAGGAACTGTTGTGGAGTAATTACAAAGTTTTACCTTCTGTTCACACATCAGCTGTTGTGGAGTAACTACAGAGCTTTAACTTTAGATCTTCTTTTACTTTACACAGTGTAATAACTTGCACCAGCCCAGTGAACAGGTATTGTTAAAGTGGTGTTACATCTCAGTGCGGGAGTGCTTGTTAAAAAGCTGCTCACCTGAATGCATCCAGGCTCCCATCTGCTTTTCTCCTTGGGAAAAATAAAGATGTTCTTTATTCAGAGTTGGAAGGGTTGATTCACTCCAATTTAAATATAATTAGCAAAATTGTTTCGCAAGGTGCAGTTGCCAGATCTTTATGGTTGTTAATGCCTCAGCCAAAGTACACAGTATTTTCTGTTTCCACTGTGATTTTACAAGGCCATCAGTTGGAAAAAGCAGTTTTCTGGTTGTGCAATGAATCCAATAGTAGCCAGGAATTTAAGATACAAACATAAGCCCCAACCTTTGTGTTTGACTTCAGCTTTTACAGCAGCACTGATACTTCAGTGTAACCTACTGGAAGGGTTGAGTGCCATTTTTTCTCATTTTGCTTTTCCTGATACGTAAGCGCAATGTGAGAGAGCTGGACTTAATTTTTTTTCTAGCCAAGCTGTGTGCTTCTCATAAAGATGAGATGTCAAGCTCAT